ACATATTTAATATTTTATCAATTGTCTGAGTACTTGTTTCTTTTTGGAGTATTAGTCTATATTGATACGTAAATACTTGTTAAATATGAAGAGTGTTAACAGGCCTATAGTTTTATAAACTTAGGTCTTTATAATTTTGTTTTGGTAGTTTGGATGCATAGATGTTTTGGTTTCTTTTTTTCAAATTTATTTTATTTATTAGAGAGAGGGAGTAGGGGGGGCAGGCCGGTTTCCTATTCACTGGTTCGCCCCCAAAGTGCTTGCATCAGCTAGGGCTGAGCTAGGCTGAAGCCAGAAGCCTGGAACTCCATCAGGGTCTCCCATGTGGGTGCAGGGCCCAAGCACGTGGCCCATCCTCTGTTGCTCTCCCAGGCCACAGCAGAGAGCTGGATCGGAAGCAGAGCGGTCAGGACCCACGCCGGCGAGCTGCTACTCAACCCGCTGCACCCAGCTCCAGCCCATAGGATTCATTACTGCTCACAACTGCATTGTTTTCCTTAACTGCCATTTATTTTCCATCTTCAGAAATTTCATTAGTGGTCTTGATGCACACTTCTCCACTCTGGTGAGTCATGTAATTAGATCATCCTTTTGCAAATATTGTAAATCATGTTTCTTTTAGTTTAACCTTAAAATATATAGGTACAAAAGCATTCTAGTAGATTTTCTGCAACCTCTGCCTCGGTTTTGACTGACAGGTCGTCCCTAACATACAGCGTGTCACACACAGACACACACACTGGCTGGCCACAGTGTCCTCATCTGGGAATAATGGCAGAGCAAGAAGCCGGGCTTTGATGTGGCGCATCTCGTTAAACCTGCTGATGAGGTGTTAACATCATTAAAGCATAGTTGCCATTGTTCTCTAGGGAACGGATGTGAGGGCGGTGATGTGTGGGTGTGCAGGAGAGGGAGGAGGGTGACTTCACCTACATCCCGCTGCTCACCCCCCCCCCCCCAGCCAAATCCCGAGGCAGAACCCACTGTGGTGTCTCAGGGGACAGGAGTGAACAGGGAGACAGTGCTACCACATGCAGCAGCTGTGAGCCGGGCTCTGACTCCTGACAGCGCCCTAGCCCTTCGCTCACCCCGAATCTCGGGAGCTTGGCAGCTGGAAGTTGCTGTCCTGACCCCACCATCTCCCTGCCGGAGCAGTTGGCTCGGGGACCACCCAGCCGCTGCCAGATCTGACCAGCAACACGGGTGTCCTGCTCACTCCCTCGTCACACTCTCCTTCCTGGGTCAAGCCAGCCCAGGAACAGAACCGGGTTGCGCAGGAAACTGGGGTTTTTAAAAAGGGGTTTTAAAAAAATTGGGGTTTTAAAAAATATTTTGGGGTGTGCAGACCCTAAATCACATTTGAAACCTTAGCTGGAAAGGAGCCTAAACCCACACCAGGGGCTGGGACTGACCACAGATGGTGAGTGAGTGCCTCCCACACCCCTGGGGGCTGGGCTGTCTCAGCGTCCGTGGAGCATGGACGCTGTGGTCAGGGTGTGTTGGGAAGGAAGAAGAGGGAGGTACAAGGGCAGTGTTGGAGGCACTGCCTGTTACACCAAGTCCCGCTTTGCGCTGTATAGAGCTGTACTCTTACTGGGTGTTAAAGACCCAGGGCTGGTGCTGTGGCGTAGCGGGTAAAGCCGCCACCTGCAGCACCGGTATCCCATACAGGCGCCAGTTTGAGTCCCGGCTGCTCCTCTTCCAATCCAGCTCCCTGTTCATGCGCCTGGGAAAGCAGAAGGTGGCCCAAGTGCTTGGGCCCCTGCACCTGTGTGGGAGACCTGGAGAAAGCTCTGGGCTGCTGCTTTGGCCTGGCCCAGCCCCAGCCATTGAGACCATTTGGGGAGTGAATCAGTGGGTAGAAGACCTCTTTCTGTGTCTCCCTCTCTCTGTGGCTCTGCCTTTCATAGATATAAATCTTTTTAAAAAATCTTAAAGACCCCCATGGCTTTTGCCAGGTGAAGTCACCAAAGGCAGCGTGCATGCATCTGGGGGCGGGGCCGATCCCAGGGCTTCCTCCCACGTCTGGACTCCTTCACAGGTGTCTTGGGGAGAGCGTTCTGTGTCTGAATGCATCTTTTACTCCGGTGCATTTTTGCCAACACTGCAAGTAGAAGTCAAACTCTCAACTCAGCCCCTCCCCGCCCAGCTGAATGGAATGTGCCTGGGGTGGGAGGGGGCAGTTTGCAGTGGATCCCCAGGCATGAGTAACCCTTATCTTGCTGAGCCTGCCTGTGCACTTGTTGCTACAGATACCCTGGTGGAGGAGGGGTTAGGCACCCGTGCTGCCTTGCCCTGATGCCCGGCCCCTCCCGCAGGGGTGCAGGTGCACACAGAGGCCAGTGGCTGTTTCTAGCCAGCCTCACTTTCCTGACGGAGCTGCAGTGAGCGCGGTCTCTGTCTACTGCTTGAATTTTTCACTCTGGTGTCACTCCGTGGTCGGGGTTGCATCGGGGTGACCGTTGAACATCTTATTAGGCTGCCCGAGGCCAGGCCTAATTGTCCAGGTGGCTGCGTTTCCTCTTATTAAAATCTCTCTTGTCTCCTGGACATCGACTCTAAGCATAATGTACTCCTTTGCACTATTTAACCTCAAATAAACGCAGCCGTGGGGAGTCTTGCTGGAGACACGGCCGGGTCTAAAAGCAGACACAGCAGCTACTATTCTCTTCCCCGAAGCAACCAACTGGGGGGTCAGGGCTGGCTCCTGTCTTGCCAAGGATGTGCCAGGCTGAGGCCCAGGCAGGGGACAGGGAGAGGGGTGGTTACAGGTGTCGGGAGACCCGCCTCCCCAGAACAGGTGAACCTAGCAGGGAGGGCAGGATGCACGCGCATTCCTGACGATGCTACAGCGGCATTCCTGAAGTCAGGAGTGGGTTGCACGTGCAGGCATTTGGCACAGCAGTTACCCCAGCACTTGGCAGTCCCGTGTTCCCTATCACGTGCCTGGTTTGAGTCCCGGCTCCTCTGCTTTGGAGCCATCTTCCTGCTGATATGCACCCCAGGAGGCAGCAGATGATGGCTTGGGTCACTGCCACCCATGTGGGAGACCTGGATTGAAGTTCTGGGTTCCCAGCTTGGACTCGGCCCGGCCCTCACTGTTGTGGATGGCTGGAAAAGTAGGGATCGCAGATCTCATGGTCTCTCTGTTTCTCTACTTTCAAATGAAATGGAAAAAAGTAGCTTGCGTGCTGAAAAGTATTTATTATTGAAGCAGGTCTTCTAGAAACTGCGCGTCCAGGAACGTTGGTTTTTCCAGCTGGCCTGTGGAAGTCCACGCTAGCCCCCGTGGGGCTCGGCTGCCTGACCTGTGCAGTCCAGAGAGGAGGTAGTGGCCTCGTCTGTGTTTCATGCGGTGTGTGCGCTCCAACCCGCTCTGGAGAGCTGATAGAGTGAGCCGCACCCAGGGCCGACGGGGAAGGCAGGGCAGGGTCCAGCGGTCGGCAGAGCCGCCCAGAGAGCCTGTTAACCGGCGCGGCCGGGCTTCCTCGGGAAGTCCTCCCTGCGTGGTTCCGGGCTGGGAACTGCGGATCTGCGTTTCCTGTTTGCAAGCACCGTGGGCCTCCTGATGCCGTCACCCCGCTAACCAACTCCTGTGTCCGACCCTTAGTAAGCAGCCAGCAGCACCCTCTGCCCCAGGCGCAAGAAGAGGCCTGCACCTCACCAGCCTCCACGCAGTGCCTCCATTCGCTCTCTGCCCCAGCCTGGCGCTGCGGGTCACTTCAGGCACACAGCATGGAAGGGTAGGGCACTCGCACTGGAGAGCCGGTCTGGCACACGAAAACAGCCGCCAGGGTGGAAGTGGAAACAGCGTGGCAGGTGATACCCTCCTGCTTTGTCTGCATCCACTCGGAAGAGCTCAGCTTTGCCCAGATCCCCCACAAGCTGAGACCTCTGCTGTGGCCTTCCCGGTGGCGGTGGTGGGCTATCCATCAGGCTTCCCAGAAGTCTGGAAGCAGGAGGCAGGAGCTGATCCTATTCACAGTGCCCTCTGAGGACCTCTGGGTTACATCTGGCTCAGAGGAGACACCTAGGGCAGCAGAGTGACGATCAGGTCCCAGCCTAAGGCCTTCCACACCCCACCCTCGCCCATCCCGTCTCACCTCTGGGAGGTCCCAGGTTATGGCTTCCCCAAACTCCCTGCCCGAGCTGCCCCTCTCCGGCTGTGTTCCCCACCCCTTACCCCTCTGACTCTGCTGACCTGGACTTGAAGGGTCCGGAACTGGAAACCTTAGCTGCTCCTCCCCCGCAGGAGGCGCCGGGAGCCCGACAGGCAACCCCGCGTCCACACTCGGATGCACCTCCCGTCCAGGGAACAAGCATGGGCCTCTCCCCTGCTCCTGCAAATGCGAAAAAACAACAAAAACTGAGATGACTTTTTATTGAACAATAAAAGTTATTTTTGAAAAAAGAGTCTAAATGTTGTATTTGCTCACAGAAAGGCTTTCTCTCCACGTAGCTGGCATGATGGGGTAAGGTAGGAGACAAGGGGTTTGAACATTGAGCATTCAGATCATTTTCTTGCAAAGTCCAGCATTCGCTGGGAACACTCACCTGCAGTTGTTAAACGACTTGGCACAGCGCGGGGGTGTGTTAGGGTGAACATGCCGAGTTATTGTTCACTTCCTTGTCACGGCCATACTCCAGGTGGAAAGCAGCTGTGCCAGAGGAGGGAGCACCGGGACGGGGGGGGGGGGGGGCTCCCAGCCACCACGGCTGCTCCCCTCCCTCTCAGTTCACATTTCCTGGCAGTTGGGACAGGAGGAACACGCGTCCCCAGACCCCATGCCGTCCCTGCTTCCAGATCGTAAAGGTGTCCCGGCCTGAACATTTCCACCTGGGGGATTTTGCTTAATGGTGAAGAGACTGCTCATGTATGTGGGGTACGGTGCCCGCGGGGTGCGGCAGTGCCAGCCCAGTTACTGCCTTGCCTTGTGATTGAGTACGACTGGCTCTGTGTATGTTTCTCTCTGATGTATTTTCTATTTGCCCCTCTCTAGTGGGATCTTGTGTGTGATAATGCCTGGAAGGTCCATATCGCTAAGTTCTCCTTACTGGTTGGATTAATCTTTGGCTACCTAATAACTGGATGCATTGCTGACTGGTGAGTACCCACGTGCCCGCCGCTCAAACCTTTGGAAGCCATGGCACCCCTTTGCTGGCTAACGAGGAGAGTGGTCCGTGTTAGCTGCTTGTTACCGAGTCTCTTCTCTGTCCTGTGTCAGCCCCAGCGCAGCCACCTGGGAGGTGCAAAGCTGAAAGTGCTGGCCAGTGCACGTCACTATTTGCAAGTGAGACTAAATTCCTAGCGATTCGCTAGCAGCCAGAAGCCAGCAAAACCAGTGCACCCACAGCCTGTCTCCCGCTCACACTCAGCCTTGGGAAGAGCTTGAGGACTTAGTGCGGGGACCTGCTGGCAGGGCTCTGAGGGGGAGGTTGCACGGGGTGCGCTGAGAAAGGGGACGAGGCGGAGCTGGAGGCCCCTTGTTCCCACGAACCGAGTGGCCAAGGCAGTCGCCTCAAATGCCATGCAGATTCTAGGGAAGAGCCCCGCGCGTGGCATGGCACGGCCGGGAGACGCCCCCGTGGGTTCCGTGGGGAGCTGCCCCTGGAAGACAGCAGCACTTGGGTCCTGCTGGACGTGCAGGCAGGGCAGGGTGGTGACCAGAGGTGAGGATGAGGAAGCTTTATTGGGGTGGGGAGGGGCTGGGGCAGGCTGGGTGCCTGCAGCCCAGTGTGTGATTCCGGAAGAAGTGATGGGGTGGAGGGGGTGCAGGGGGGAGAGAAGGGGGTAGTGGAGATGAGGACGAAATTAACAAAGCTGACAGCAAGAGCAGCTAACGAGTACGCTGGGCCAGGCCCTGTGTCCCTTCCTTACAACACCCCGGTTCAGTAGGTGCTGAAGCATAATCCCCAAGTTCAGTCCTCTGCAAGCCGGAGAGAGCCAGGACTTGACACCCAGCCACGTGGCTGCGGAACCCGCCTCCCTGCCAGTGTGCCCGACACCTTTATTTAAGGCATCCTGTGTGACGAGGGCACGGCGGGGCTGGGCCGGAGCAGGGCAGCGGTTGCACAGTGCAGAGGGACTCTCCAAGGACAGGTGTGCTGGAGCCGGCTCCCCCTCGCCATGCTTTGTAAATTTTTGGGGGGGTGGGGGGTGAATCAGCTCATCTTGAGCCTGATGACATCCTAAGGACCGAGAGGGAGACAGGGAGCCAGCTCTGTAGGTTTTTGTGATGCCTCTCTGAACCGGGCTTGGCTGAAAAAGCTGGCCCGGGGCCTGGGATGGGGTGAGGGGCAGCAGCAGGTGGCTCTGATACGACTTGGAAGTTGTGGCCCTTTCCTGCCCAGAGCTCGTGTTGAGCCGAGAGCTCCTTGTGTTAATATGTAGCAGGGCTTCCCGGGTGCTTGGGATCTGCTTGATCACCGTCGGCAAATGCCTCTCGTGGACGCAGTCAGAGACGCTGTCGGCCACCTCTGGACACCTCTGCCCGGGCCTCTTTCGTTTGGGTTTGGTTTTGTCTTTGGTCAGGTAGCAGGTTTTTTTTTTTTTTTTTTAGGCAAATGCTTGAAATCGTAGGTTTTCAGCTTGAGCTAAAATACAGGAGGGTCCTTTTACAAAGTGCACACTATAGTTTCGTCCCATTTTCCCGTGAATATTTTGGAGTGCCGGGGCCCTGTTTCCTGCATATCTGCATGGCAGTGGGTTAGGAAGCGGCACTGGGAGAACCCACGTCCCCTTCTGTGTCTGAAGGGCAGACACCAGGCCTTGTTCGCAGAGGGCGTGGCAGGGCGGCGAGGGTCTGAGCTGCCTGAAGTCAGTTCCCACGGTTTCTTCTTGCATGTATGTGCCGCGTGGCCCACTCGTCACACACCAGGCCTGGGGACACGAAGCCAAAGAGCTCGCGTCTCACGCCAGGGGTGGCCAGCAGTCCGACTCCTCCTCCCGAGGGTCCACGCCCAGTAGGCCAGGCAGGGAGTGAGCAGTGGGCCGCTCGGGGCTTGGGCTTTCAGACATTTTGAGAGAGCCTGTTTCAGTTTGAAAGTTTGGTGTTTTCCACCCCAATTTTTAAAAAATTTTTTTGACATTTTACCCCCTGCTTGAGCCTTGCTTAAGAGGAAATAAATCCATCGAGTGGGAACTCAGACCTCACAGCGGGTGGCCCTCACCACAGGGCTGCATGGGGCCGTTGATCTTGAACTTTCTGAGGCTGCACTCAGCGTATCGTCGTATTTACTTGTTTACAAAGAGACTGCTTTGCACGGGGGTGGCGCCTGGGGGTGTTTGTCCATTGGGCATGGTTAGATCTGTTCAGAGCAGGGCACAGAGCTCCCTCGGGCTCCTCGGAGCGTGCTGTCCGCTCCCTCTCCCCTCCCCGAGTGCCCTTTGGCGGGATCCTGCATCTATCCAGCCAGCACCCTCTCCCCTCCCCCTGCAGCCGGCCCTGGGAAGCTGCCATTGTGGGCTGCACTGGGGGACCCCTTGCTCCGGAGGCTCTGGCCAAGCGTGGCCAGTGGGGAGAGCCAGCTACAGACCCCGCCTTGTTTCCCCCAGCTTGTCCCTGCAGGGGAGCCAAGGGCCACCCCGCACCGCACCGTGCCTCTCCCAGGCCGTGCGACCTCCTCCCCTGCACCCCCGCCCCCGGGCTGCCCACTGTGAAGAGCTGCAAGATTGAACACTGTCCCTTGTGAGTTCTCTCACAGCTGGCCCGCTCTGTATAAATGAGCCCTTTGTTAACGTCTCCAGCCTGGCTCAGCCCCCAGCCGTTGTTGTGGCCATTTGTGGAGTGAGCCATGGATGACGGATCTCCACCCCCACCCCCCATCTCTGTCGCTCTGCCTTTCAAATAAATAAAACAAATCTTCCAAAAAAAATCTTCTCCAGTACTTGATTGGAATGGGCTGTTTCCTGCTGAGAGCCTGCGAGGGTTCTGTGGCTGCTGTACCAAATGAGAGATTAACCATCTCCCAGCTTGGAGGGCCCGCATCCAGCTAGGGTCTCGGGCTGCTCTGGGAGACCATGGTACGTCTGCTTTTGCTGGCCCTGGAGGCCGCCTGCAGCCTGTGGCTCGGGTCCCTTCCTCCATTTCCGGGCCAGCCATGGCGGGCCAGAGCCCTCTGACGCTGCCACCTCTCTGGCTCCCCGTGGCCAGGGGCTGCCCTCCTGTAATTAGCTTGCACCTAACTGGAAAATCCTTTCACACTGCAGTCCCCGGCCCTCCTCCCATCTGCAGAACCCCTTTCGCCAGGAAAGGTAAAATCCTGTTTCTGAGTGTCAGGACGGGGGTGTCTGAGCCAGGCGCAGACGCTCAGGGATCGAAGCAGCCAGTTCAGCCTGGAACGCTGGGGCGTGTGAGCAGCGTGTCTGGGATGCTCGCTGAGTCCCTGGACGGCAGCCCTACCGGGCAGCCATCACCTCGTCACTGGGATGGCGTGGCCTTTTCCCAGGTCCCCACGTTCAGCCATGATGAGCCTCAATTCAGGGGGTGCCGACTTCCGGGATCACGGTAGCCACACAGTTTCCAGAGATGCTCTGCTTCCTGACTTCCGTGGCCATTTTTCACACACACACACACACACACACACACACACACACACATATACCCCTCTTTGCTTAGGTATCAGACACGGCAAACCGTGCTTGGTAGACGTCAGGAGTGTAGACACACAGGAAGGAGCAGGCGCTGAGACAGTTCTCTGCCAACGGCTCCGTCCACCATCTCCCTTGGTGGTGGCCGTCTCAACAGCGCTGCAAAACAGGACACTTATGCCCATTTCACAGACTTGGAAACAAAGGGAAATAAATGGATACCTTAGAGTTTGTTTTCCTTCCTTTAGAACCAGGGTGGGAAAACGTCTTTCTGCCCGGGGCCGTTTGCACATCTACACCACCTGTGGGCCATATGGACTCGTCAGCTGGAAAATTAGCCTGCAGTGGGGTTGTGGGGTTTCAAGTCCCACCTGCAGTTGGCCAAATGATTCCGGCCCTTCTATGTCCCATGGGCCGGATGCGCCCCGCCCCTTTGGGGAGGGCTCAGCCATAGTGGAAAGCGACTGGTTTGCTACAGTTGGGATTGGTTCAGGTCATCTAGATGGTCTTTCCTGAGAGGGGCTTCGTGACCCCAGCACTGGTCCCAGGAGTGGTGGCTGCACTCTGCAGGCAGGACCACTGCGTCCACTGGCACTGAGCTCATAGCGTTGGCCTTGACCCACTAAACCACAGAGACTCCTGGGGGGTGGCTAGAGCCTTAAAAAGGTTTGAATGAAATTCTACTCCATTGTTCCCTTCCCTGCAGCTTTCTTAAAACTGCCTCCATCTGTGTAGGCAAGGCCATACCCCACTGAGTCATTCTTTTACCAGCTTTGTTGCAAGACGATTTCCATATCATGAAACTCACTCATTTTAAGTACAATTCAGTGAGTTTCAGCACATTGACAGAGTTAGGCAAGCATCAGCACACTCAGGCTTAGAGCCTTTCCGATCGCCCTATAGGATGATGGGAAAACGTCCCTGTCCTCAACCCCAGCCCTGGGCAGCCGTGAACCTAGTTTGTTTCTCTATATTTGCCTTTTCTGCCAGTATGTCTAGGGCCATCCTAGCCGTTCAGCTACCCGTATGGTGTTTGGGGTCCCAGGCCTGGTCCCCCCCACCCCACTTTTTTTCTCCTAGCAAATCACATCCTTTCTGTTCTAGTTGGCTTGTGAAGTGTCTGAGGTCCAAGCTGGCCCTGTTGCATGAACTCGCTTGATGGGGCGTGGCTGCAGTTCTATTTCTAATGAGTGATTAAAGGGAAAGATGGAAGGTTAGCGGTCAGCATGGAGGGGCGGAGAACCAGGTGACCTTCCCGTGGGACGCCCAGCAGGCCATCGCCCCCTAGTGGTCGGCAGGCCGAGTCCCCTGTAGGTGGAGGCAGGGGGACAGCGGGTGTCCTTTCCAGGGGCTTCGATGTTTGCTCGCCAGCAGGCCCACCCCGGTGACTTACAGTCCAAGCTCTCTCTGTTTCGTTTGTGAGTCCTTCAAGGTCGCTCCTTGCCTTGTAACTGCAACAGATCGGCAGTGGACTGGGCCCTGGCTCTGATGCGCTGTGTGTGAGGTCAGGTCTGTGACTTGGCAGCCCAGAGAAGGGAGATGCAGGCAGTCGCCCAGTGCCCATGTTGACTTGGGAGTGAGCTGGTTCCGAAGGGCAGCAACTCTGCTGGGCGTGTCAGGGTTTATGTTTGGGGTGTTGTCATTGGTTTTGTTCCTTTGCTTTGAGTTATGCCCATAGGTACCTGGAAGTAGACTCAGAATGGCAGTGTGGGGTTGCATTTCCCTGGACGGGCCTGTTGTCCCTAGGAAGTGGGTCTGGTTGAGTCCGGAGCACCTGCTAGGCACGGGGGTTCAGCACCTGGCTGCCTTGTTTAACCGAGATTTCTGACTTTTTCCTTCTCCGCCTGCAGGGTTGGCCGGCGGCCGGTGCTCCTGTTTTCCATCATCTTCATTCTGATTTTTGGACTGACTGTGGCACTGTCAGTGAACGTGACCATGTTCAGCACACTCAGGTTCTTTGAAGGATTTTGCCTGGCTGGAATAATTCTCACCTTGTATGCATTACGTAAGTAGGAACCTGCATAACTTGGAAAAAAACCAGTGCCTCGGAGGTTCTGGGGAAGAAGCTGTGCGTTCTGATTGTCTGGGGTGGAGATGCTTCAGCATTTGGAAGCACGGATTTTCAGGCCGTGACCGTTGGGGAAATGAGACAAAGCCGTGCGTTGTTCAGTCAATCCTGATCTCTGGCTTAGGCTCAGTGCACACCACCCAGGAGCTTGGAGAAGTGGCCAGCAGCACATGGCTGTGACAGAATAGCTTTTGCTTTCCTCTGGAGTTTTCTGCGTTGCTATTCTGTGTGCTTCCAAGTCCAGTGCACGCCTGGGGGCCCCTGGAGCTGGTTCCAGGAGAGTATACCGAATGCCCGGGGCGTGAGATCCGGCCTTAGCATTGTCACTGCTGCAGAGTTTTTCTTCTTTGTTCCCTCAAAGGCCACAAGGGTACAAATTTCCCCCAGTTTCTGAGACCTTAGGTGGTCAGGGGTTGAACCGTCAGCGCCGGTATTGGCAGAGCACGTGGGAACTCGGGGGCATTTGCTGTTAGGATGAGGAACTTTTCCCTCCACTGGTCAGTTATGTCTGTTGGCTGTGCTAGCCCAGCTGTCAGCGGTGGCAAAGTCTCACTCATTCGCCGTGGGTGTGTTCTAGAAGACAAACACGTGCCCATCAGCTTTTTGACTAATCGTATGCTTTTGAATCATTTTGTGCGAAGATCTGTTGGAAATACCGTGAGATAATTTACAGTGCTTTTTGTCTTTTGCTCTCCCTTTGACGCACGGGCAGGAGTCAGGTATACACCAGGTAGCGATTCCCAGTGTGATACAGTGAGGATGGTTCTGATTCTCAGAACTACGTGCGCCCACGTCTTTCAGATAAGCTGAGTTTTCGCTTCCCAGGAGCAGGGCTGGAGCTCGTGTCGCCACAGGGAGGGGATGGGTCTGGGGAAGGGCTGCAGGCGTGGTCTTTCAAATCCAGGGTCGGAAGTTTTTTCGTCCTCTTCCAACGTTGAACAGAAATGTAGATTCGCAGCAGTCCGCTTCCTCTGTTTATCTGGGAACCCTTGTTGCTTGGAGAGTTCTTTAGGAGATTAGGACGATACATCCACAAGTTCTTGAAAAATGAAATCAGAAGCTAAGTTTCGTTAAATGAAATCAGAAGCTAAGTTTTGTTGGGTTCCGATGTTCTGAGACCCACGCCCACGCGGGGTTCTGTCTGATGAACGCATGGCAGGCTCTCGGCTCTTCTCCGGGGGAGACCCCACACTCTGGGCGCTGCCTTGGTCTTGGGGTGAGTCCCTCAGCCCCTGGCCAGGCCTTGGTTCTCTGATGGGGGTGGGCCCAAGAGCATGAGCTAAATTCTGACCTCGCTTCCTGGTTTCATCTCCACTTCCCTCCTCTGCCTTCTCCTTCGTCCCATTTGTCCATCTCCGTAACTTGTCTATGTGTGTGTGTTAGCAGCCTTACATCTTTTTCCTGCAGTGAATTAGCGTGTATGAACACGCTGTTGTTTCTTAGAGTGGGGACTGCAAATCTAACGTCATGATGCGTACTGCTCCAATGAAAGTGTCCAGGTACCAGCCAGTGGCCCACTACCTGAGCTAACCGTGTACCTGGGGCCACACAGTTAGAATACAGTACAAGAATGTGAGTTCACTGAACTGTTGTTTCAACAGTGAAAATTAGAGACATTTGATTGAACCAGGCTTGGCAGGAGAGAGTTAAAACCAGGAACTAAAGTCATCGTGGGCAGGTGGGGTTGGGCTGGGATCCGGGTGGGCTGGGGTGAGGGGGCCCGTCTCTCTGCACACCTGCCAGTCTCGGGAGAAGACAGGTTGGTCACAAGAAATCAAGAAAGGTGCTGTCCGTTGGCAGCACAGGGTGGCTGTGAATGTTCAAATGCGAGTCCTTGGGCAACGCCTGGGAGTCTGTTTTGCCTGAAGTATAGTCAGTCCGTGACTTTAAAGACGAGTTTAAAAAACTTGTCATCGATTTCTGGGAGTTGCGTCTTTAATGGCCCCAACGCTGGCTCCCTGACCACCCCAGAGGGTTCCCTCTCTCTCAGTGCGTCTGTCCGTTCTCAGAACAGACCTGGAAGTCATTCTTTTTTAGTCTTGCAGGTGCTTGGCAACATGCGTAGGCAAAGTAATGATTTTGGCAGTTTTAGTGTCTTGTGCGGCTGGCCACGCGGGTGGACTCTCGGTTTTGAGAAATGCTGCTGACTTGGGAAAGTTTTCTGCTTTACTTGCAAGGCTGAGTAAGGAGTTTGGATTTTTTTTTTCCTAAGGTGCATTTTGGGTAAATATTCTCTACCCTTTCGACTTTGGTTTCCTTCAAGTTGCCGGAGGGAGAATGGTTGTGTAATGAGGACATAAAATAGAGATTATTGGCATTGTCCCAAGCAGTCTTTATGCAGAAGCAGAGTGTGCACTGCCAAGAGCGAGAGAATGGCCCAGGCTGGGTGAACGGTGGGCAGGGCTCCCGCGCGGCTCCTGCCTGCCCGCCCCGGAGGCCACCGTGAGAAGCCGACATAACTAAGTACACTTGGGTGTGCTCGATGCCTTCGTTCTGTTTATGGACACGTGTGCAGGAGGGCACGCGACTTAGCCAGACAAGAGGCGCAGACCGAGGGAAGCAGCAGCAGCTCCCAAGTCACTATTTGTTTATGAAAATAAAGTCCGAACAAAAACTAAAGCTGTCGTCACATCTCAATCCAGACAGATATGTTTTCTTGCATTATAAACACTTTTCCAGCTAGGATTCATAATATCCCATATCAGGTAAGCCAGCATTATTTAAGATGTATTTTGTGGGGCCGGCATTGTGGCCAGGTTAAGTCTCCTGGGACACTGGCATTCCCCCAGAGTTCTGTTACGAGTCCTGGCTGCTCTGCTTCTGATCCAGCTCCCTGCCGATGCACCTGGGAAAGCAGCAGAAGGTGGTCTACACCGGTGTGGGAGAGCTGGATGCAGTTCCAGGCTACTGGTTTTGGCCTGGCCCAGCCTTGGCTGTTGTAACCATCTGGGAAGTGAACCAGCAGGTGGAAGATCTCTCTGTGTCTGGCTCTGCCTCTCTGCCTTTCAAATAAATAAAATAAATCTTTAAAACTTAAAAAAGTTAAATTTTCTTCAAAAGAAGCTGATGACAGATGCTTTTTCCATTAATTTGATGTTGGATGTAGGAAGTCTTGGGGGAGAGAAGTCTATCTAACATAAACATTGTTTTTGGTGTCTCTCCTCATTTTGTTTCCACTGTCTAACAGCCTCTCCCTGCCCCCACTTTCCCAATTTGAAATATTGTCTGATACCTTTTGCTGGCAGATAGATCCTACCTTAGAGTAGGCAAATGAGCATCACCTTTTAAAAAGAATTTTTTTTTTTTTTTTTTTTTTTTTTGCCTAACAGAAGAGAACCATTGTCTTGAAAAATTCTCTCAAAGATGTTCTCACAATCATAAGCCTCCTTAAACCCAGGCAGCCTAAATAATTGGATGAATTTTACACCTAGTCAAGGAGTGACCCAAACTTCCACAGGTGACTAAGTCGCTGATTACTTTGCACAGTCAGAAGCCGCGTCCCCATGTACCTGACAGACTCCAGCATCTTGCACTGGCTCTGGGCACAGTACTGCCCACTCGCTCGCTCGCTCACACGAAGCTAATGGGTTGGCCTCTCCCTGAAGCGGCTGAGTCATTTCTCGTGTGCTGGTGTAGAATGACTTTGTCTTACTCTCTCCGAGTGTTTTATCCTTGGGGAGTCTTCTGGGAGTAGCATTCCTTGGAGCGTATTTCAACCAACAGGCTTATTCGGCATCAACACTGTGCTGTGTTTGACCACGTGACCCCCCCATAGTGAGTCATCCGGAGGAGACTGACGGCTGTGGTGGTTGTCCCTTGAGGGGCGTGGCTTCAGCTGCCTCCTCTTTGTTGTCTTCTGAGGGCCAAGTGCTTGCCTTTTGGATGAGGGGACATTTTCACTTGGATGTGCTTGGGGGACCTCTTTATCTCCAGCTTCTTCCCAGCTTCTGATATGAGTTGTCCATCGGGGAGCCGCAGTTCACCACTGAGGACTAGCTTTTTCTCCAGGTTTTACCGGTCCTTCAAATAAAAATTATTCAAATCTTTTTCTTCATCTCTACGCATGTTGAACCAAAACTTGGACATTTTATCTAGATGTTTCTATTTAAAAAATGTAAATGTCTGTATATGTGGAGGCCATGTGAGGATAGGAGATGCACCTGCATGTTAAAAATGGAAATCCAAGGGTGGAGAAGGAAGTGGCAGGTGGCATCACAGGGCCCATATGCCCAGTCTTCTGTCCGTATCTTCTAAGGCAAGACACTAGGCACACGTTGCCTAAATGCATAATAGACAGGCTTCAGATTGTATATTTCTTTGGGTGTTTTAAATGTAGTAAAGATAGGCCTGTCTCAAAATTGGAGTGAAAGGACGGCAAATAGAGAGAACTGGGCATTTTAAAGTTAGAATGTCTGGATGCCTTCTCCGCACCATGGAGGGTGGTATTAAACCTGCATGTCCCATATGGACCAGATTTTTCCCAGACTGGAATTTAAGTGGTGCATGTGCACTTTATTTGCAACAAAGCTGTTCACCACAATACATGGGGCAGTGGAAAGATCTGGAAATCACGAGGTCTGATTGGAGTGTGAGCCCCACGGGGGACTGAATGAGGCTGGACAGAGTGCAGGAGCTCTGTGAGCTTCCGTCTTTCTGTCAGGTCAAGGCATGGAGTTGCAAGTGATGTCCTGTGGAACCGTGGGATCGTTCCTGGAATAGCACATGAAGGGAATGGACAGAAATCAACCACAAATGGAAAACTGCTGGATTCCATCGTGCCTTCCAATTTTAGAGTTCTGTAGCTTTTGAATTCTAAGCTCTCTGCTAGCCTCCTCCAACAGTGAAGGTTTCATGAGGCAGGGGTGGTGAGGCTGGTGGCACTGGCCCCCTGTCATGCTCCTCTCCAGTCCACGCTCACAGAAGGAGTCGCTGGACTT